CCCGCACTGGGCTCTTACTCAGCAGGGAGCCTGCTTCCTTCCCCCCCCTCTCTGCTTGCATCTCTGCCTACTTGTGATCTCTGTCTGTCAAATAAATAAATAAATAATCTTAAACAAACAAAAAAAATATATATTATTTTAAAGTGAATGACAAAAAAGCATAAGGAGATAGGGGAGAAACTAGAATAGTAAATAAGCATCCAATAGAGAAGAGCCAAACGTTAATTCTCTGAAAAGACTAATAAACTGATACCCCCTGGCAAGAATGATGAAGAAAAAGGGAATGCACAACAAATTTTATCAGGAATAAAAAAGGATGTCATTTCATATTCTCAGAAATGGACAACTTCACATCAATAAATCTGAGAATTTAGGCTCAACAAATTCCCAAGAATAACACAAACACAAGACAAAAGAGAGATATCTAAATTGTCCCAGATCTATTCAGACATAAACTAGAATTAAAATGCTTCCCACACTGGGGTGCCAGGGTGGCTCAGTGGATTAAGCCTCTGCCTTCAGCTCAGGTCATGATCTCAGGGCCCTGGGACCAAGCCCCACATGGGGCTCTCTGCTCAGCGGGGAGCCTCCTTCCTCCTCTCTCTCTCTGCCTGCCTCTCTGCCTATTTGGGCTCTCTGTCTGTCAAATAAATAAATAAATAATCTTTTTTGCTTTAAATTAAAAATAAATAAAGTTAATGTTATAGTAGTAAATAGAAATACAGTATTAAATAGAAAATTTTATTTTAAAATAATACCATTTACATCCAATACCTATAGTTCAAGGACTCTGAAAACTATAAAACATTGACAGACTTTAAACACCTAAATAAGTGAAGGAATATATCATGCTCATAGTTTGAAGATTTCAAATTGTAAAGATGTCACTTTTTCTGAAATGTACTGATCGGTTTGGTTTATTTGCTTGATTTTTTGTGGAAACCAGCAAGCTGATTCTAAAATTTACATGGAAATGCAAAAAGCCAGGAAGAGTAGCCAAGATAATCCCCAGACAGCAAAGCAGACGAATTTTACTAGATAGACTTATTATAAAGCTATAGTGATCATGGAGCACAATACCCAATGATAATAACAAAACAACGAAAAATAAGAGAGAATCCAAAATTAGATCATGTCATAAGCATATAACTGATGAAGAGATAGCTTTGCAGAGTAATGGGGGAAGGTATAGCTTTTTCAATATCTTCAATAGCGTTGGGAAAAACAGATTTCAAAAGGCCATCCAAAACGCCTGGGTGGCTCAGTGGGTTAAGCCTCTGTCTTCAGCTCAGGTCATGATCTGAGTCCTGGGATCAAGCAACGGGCTCTCTGCTGGGCTCCTGCCTGCCCCCCAACCCCCACCTGCCTCTCTGCCTACTTGTAATTCTCTCTCTCTCTTTCTCTCTCTGTCAAATTAAAAAAATAAAAAAAATAAAAAGACCCAAAAGCAGTACCAAAAAGGAAAAGGTGAATGTATTTCACTACCTTAAAAATCAAGAACATCTATTCATCAAAAGATGCCATTAACAGAATGAAAATACTAGTCATAGAGTGGGAGAATATATTTTCAATATATAACCGATAAAAGGTTAATAATGTCAAGAAATTACAAAGAACGCCTACAAATCAACATAACAAAGACCACTCATTTAAAAAAAAAAAACAGACACCTAACTAAAGATGATACCCAAATAGCCAATAAAGATATTAAAAGTTGTGCAAGGAAATGCACATTAAAAAACTATAATGAGCTACCACTACACATTCAACAGATTCACTAAAATTAAAAAGAGAGACCATACAACGTGCTGACAAAGATTTGTGAAGCAATCAAACACATATTATTGGTGAAAGTATAAAACGATACAAGCACTTTACAAAACTGTTTGGAATTATCTACTAAAGTTCGGTTACATGTGACTCAGGAATTCCACTCAATTATATACCTAACAGAAATCTTTATATATGTGTGCCAAACTACACTTATAGGAGTGTTCATAACAGTATATCGTACCAATCCCAATTGGGGGGAATCAATAGGAGAATAGATAAATTGAAATAACAGTGAACATAAATGAAATACTACTACGTGAAACATAATGGAATCTCACAAACACAATACTGAGCGAAAGAAGCCAGACATAGAAAAATACATACTGTATGAATCCATTTGTATAATGTTTGGGGAAAAAGCAAAACTAATCTCTGGTATTAATACAACGGTCACTTATAGTGCGGCCACTTATAGTGCGGAGGGGGTGTTAGTGACTAGAAGAAAGTACATGAGCTTCTGGGATATTAGTAGATCCTATTTCCTGGTCAGGGTGGTCATTACAAAGTGCATGAACACTCATTTATCTATATAGTCATGATTTGCATACTTCACTGTATGATAAAAGTCTTAAAAAGGGGCGCCTGAGAGGCTCAGTCATTAAGCGTCTGCCTTTGGCTCAGGTCATGATCCTGGGGTCCTGGGATCAAGCCCGTATCGGGCTCTCTGCTCATCAGGAAGTCTGCTTCTCCCTCTGCCTCTGCTGCTCCCCGACTTGTGTTCTCTCTTTCTCTGTGTCTTTGTCAGTAAAATAAATAAATAAAATCTTAAAAAACAAAACAAAACAAAAAACTCAAAAAACCTCTTAAAAAAAAAAAGATGTGCAATAGACTGTTACTTATAAGAAAAAATCTTTAAAAAATATTAAAACTCTTGAGGACACAAGCAAATGAGTCTTTGGTAAATAAACAAACCAATAAATAACAATAAACAGAAACTCCAAAAAGAACAAAAAGCTGTAAAAGTGTCAAGGATTGAAAAGAAAGAAATACTAGCAATTCATGGTGTTAGAATAGAGAATTCATTCCTTATTATTAGGAATTTCCTCCTTTGAATGATTCATTCAACCTGTGAACAAAATATGGAAGATGTAGTTGTGGTTGCAGAACAGATCGTAAACGTTAACAACCTTAGCAATGTAAAAATAAATATGCACAGAAAAGAGGAAAACTGGAAGAAAGAGAAGGAATGGCTAAAGGAGAGTCAAGGTTATTGACTTACATAGAACAAAAAACTAAGATATGAGATTAAATATGTAATCAACAGATGTACTTCAAGATAATGCAGGAGCAAAGGAAGTAGGTAGACAGAACAACACCCGACATACACTCATAACTGTTTTATCAGGGTAATGGGTACAGGGGCTTTGTTATACTACCCTGTTTACTTGTAATTACATTTTCCACAGTAAAAAGTTGGGGCTTTTTTTTTTTAATTTATTTTTTATAAACATATATTTATTTTTTCCCCAGGGGTACAGGTCTGTGAATCTCCAGGTTTACACACTTCACAGCACTCAAGTTGGGGCTTTTTTAAAGGTAATGGAGAGTAAAACATAATGCACCTATCAAACACTGGAAAGAGAAGGGAAAGGGGGGAGGTACTGTGAACTAAACCTTTATGGCCTAAAATATATAAAGTGGGAAAACTGAGTTATAAGTGTTATAGGCACAACTAGAAATGATTAAAAAGAGTTGCCTCTCAGAAGTCAAAGTGGGAGTGGAAGGTGTGAGGCATGATAAATCTTTTTCACTGTAAGCTTTTTTTCAAAAAAATTATCATTTTAATTAAAAACCTATTGCTTTAAAAGCTGATAAAATGTTTAATAGAAAAAATAGTGGCAGTCAAGATGCTCAATCATTTATACTTTAAATAAACAATTAGCCCATAAAATGGTAGGATTTATAACGTGTCTTATCAATACTACCAAGTATTCTAAACCTCATTCTTAACTATACTTTATAGGTTCTGCTATTTTAAAAAGAAATGTTATTCCTGTATGCTATTGAATTTTATTTTCTCCTGTTAAAAAAAGAACTTATCTCGTGATTTTTAATTTAAAAGAAATGAATAATTAGATTAAATCAGAATAAAACTCTAGCATCATTAAACATAATTTCTGCATTTTTACCATTATGATTTAAAAATCTAAGCAAGTTAATTGTCATATTTTTTAACTGTCTAGTCTTATTAAAAAGCTGATGGATGATGTAATGTACAATAAAACTAATTATCTTACCTCCTTTTCTTCACCAACTTGGTCCAAACTCTCATGACTTGAAGGATTATATGGAATTACTGAAAACCCAATCCCAAACATGGGGAAAAAAAAGAAAAAGGAGAAAACACAGCACCCATTAACTGAGTTTGACTTAAAATGTTTTCATGATTTGATTTAAGTTTTTATTTCGGAATAAGTTTGCATTATTTAAAATTGAGTATCTGTCCTACTAGTAATAAACTGTATGTATTTATGACTTAAATCCTCATCTTTAATGGGAGTGGAGAGCTAGAACCAACTGCAACCAAGTACTGATTTTAACAAATATTTTTGGCATTTTAAAAATAATTCTCTTCGGGGCACCTGGGTGGCTCAGTGGGTTAAGGCCTCTGCCTTTGGCTCAGGTCATGATCTCAGGGTCCTGGGATCAAGCCCCGAGTCAGGCTCTCTGCTCAGCAGGGAGCCTGCTTCCCTTCCTCTCTCTCTGCCTGCTTCTCTGCCTACTTGTGATCTCTGTCTGTCAAATAAATAAATAAAATCTTAAAAAAAAAAATTTTCTCTTCTTCACAAATTAATCAGTTTCTTCTATAAGGGTGACTCCATAAACCTTATTCAATTATTTCAGTATGACTAAAGCACAGAGTTAGGGGGCGCTTGGTTTTTACTCTTCACTTCCTTCATACTTAAAATATTCCTAACTACCATACCACATAGGTCAAGTAAAGAACTGACAAAGATTGAACTCTAGGTTTCTATTCCTTAAAGCTACTTCAGGGCACAAAAAAAGAAAAAAAAAAAAAAAAAAAGCAAAAAAGCCCATGATTCATATAACCAGCTTCTTGTATGAACAAGAAAGTACATTTTGTCCTTCCAGAAAAACTCCCTCACCTTCCCTTTCTTGATTCATCTAAGATCAGTACGCTCTGCCCAATTAATTGCTCTCTAAATTTCACAGATATATATTTAAGGTTCTGGAAGATCACATGATCTTTTTTGAATTTTCTATACTGTATCTTTTACATAATTTTTACTTCTGATAATAAAACTTTTAATAAAAACAGATCACCTGAAGAATCACTATGACCCACAAAAACAGTATGCGTTTTCATTATTGAAAAAGCTAGGTTGCTCAGTTTAAAAAAAAGTCTCAGAAGAAGTTTATCTGAATCAGAGAAAAGTGTCCTTTATTGTAGTTTACATAGTTGTCTTCTTAAAATGCCAAAGGTATATGTTAAATATTATGACGTAGAGTACCACTGCAAAATGGGGCTAACTTTTATTTGGGAAGAACATAAATGGTTTCAAACTTAAGTTAAAGAGTCACCTAAATAAGTCTTTAAATGATATTTGCTGATGAATGACAGTTCCTGCCAGTGTCATTCTTACCTGTCTGTGCATGGTCTGAATGCATGGATGACTGGTCCATGGGCATCATTGGTTCCTACAAACATTTCCAAAGACACAGTAACTTAGCAGGTTCTTTCTAAATCCCATAAATTCAGAAACATTATTTCGACGAGATACAGCATATTAAAATTTAAACTTGAAAGAACAGAACTTAATAAATGAAAACTGCATTACTATGTTTAATTATATGAAACCATGCAATATTCCTGTGAATGAGATAATACTAGTCACATTTCACAGATAACAGAAGAAACAGAAAACTAACTTCAGACCATCAATTAGAAATCAGATTGAACTTCTATCTACTTTGATTTGTGTTTCTTCTATACTATTCTTCCTATGAGCTCCACACATTCACTTTACATCTTTGGCAAAGGGAGCCTCTAGTCCCTAAGTTCCTTAGTTGAGTCTGAAGATGAGTCTATAAATCTAAAATTTTGTGGGTTTCCCATTTTTCTGAAGATTCTCAAAGGTGCCAGTGATCCAAATAAGGAAAAGCAACACATTCTAGAAACTGACTTAAAAAACTCACTGCCCATAACCTCAGGAAAAATGTTAATTCAAACCAAAATGTTCTAATTCATTAATCTTGGACCCAGGTTTAACAAATACCAACAAAAAAGGATAAAGTTGAGAAGGAGCATTAGTTAAGACAGTTTTAATTTTTTTAAAAGATTTTATTTTTAAGTAATGTCTACACCCAACATGGGGCTCAAAATCACAACTCTGAGATCAAGAGTCACACATTCTCGGGACGCCTGGGTGGCTCCGTGGGTTAAGCATCTCCCTTTGGCTCAGGTCATGATCCCAGAGTCCTGGGATGGAGCCCCACATCAGGTTTCTTGCTCAGTGAGGAGCCTGCTTCTCGCTCTCCCTCTGCTGCTTCTGCCTGTTCATGCTCTCTCTCTCAAATAAATAAACAAAATCTTTAAAAAAAAAAAGAGTCACAAGTTCTACTGACTGCACCAGCCAGGCATCCCTTACACAGTTATAATTTTAAGGCTGTCTGGATAGGCTCCTGGATTTTGCAATGCATTTAGTGATTATCAATAATCACTAATTCTATCCCTCTTTCCTTCCACATTTATAAATTTACACAGGTCATTCCATCACCTAAGAATACTCAAGAATGTCACAGTAGCGTAAATAAATTATGTTCACAATTTTTGGCCTAGTTTTTTTTTCCTTAAGATGCGATTTTCACCTCCCTAATGATAAACCCACTCCTGAGCTTAAATGAACTAGCTAAATACTTCTAATACCAAAGAGCCACCAATGTGGAGCTCAGCGCAGGGCTCCATCTCACAACCCTGAGATCATGACCTTAGCTGAAATCAAGAGTCAGTTGCTTAACCGACTGAGCCACCCAGGAGCCCCTGCATTCAGATCTTTTTAAAAATGCATATCCTTTAAGCCAATAATTTACTTCTGGATTCTTAAGGAAATAATAAGATTTATTTACCAGAAACTTCCTATTATTTTCTTTACAGGAAAATGTAGAAAACAAATCAAATGTAAAATCATGAGGAACAAGTTAAGTAAATTATGACATAGATATGTAACCAAATATTATGCTAAAATTGAAGAGGATATAGATAGATATGGAAAGGTGACCAAAATATAGTTAAGTGAAAAAAAGGAGTTAGAGAACAGTATATGTATGATCTCACTTTTGTTAAAAAGTATGTAAAAGAATGAGACTCAAACATTAAGCACATTCTGATAAACACTCCACCTTCTATGAAGCAGTCTCAAAAACCAAAAATGAAAAGCCAGGGGGCTGCCTGGGTGGTTCAGTTGGTTAAGTGTCTGCCTTCAGCTCAGGTCACAATCCCGGGGTCCTCGGACAGAACCCTGCATCAGGCTCCCTTGCTCAGCAGGGATCCTGCTTCTCCCTCCACCTCTTTGCCTGCTCCACCCTCTACCCCTCCCAACCCCGCTTATGCTCTCTCTCTGACAAATAAATAAAATTTTAAAAAAGAAAAAGAAAAGCCAGAATCTAATTAAACTTCTAGATCCAACTATAATACACAGAAAATAAAAAGGACAGGGGAACATTTTAAACATAACCATAGAGAAGCAAAGAGAAAAATACTGCAACACTTTAAATGACAACATAATATCTTCTACATTTAAATTTTAAGGGGGGGAAAAAGGGAGAGAGAGAAATGTTAGAATCAGTAGTGTTGAGAAAATATCTAGGACACATATCAGTCAAGTGCAAATATGGACTTCATTTAGATACTGATTCAGAATGAAAACTAAAAATTTTCACATTTATGAGGCAAGTGGAATGTTGAACATTGCCTAGATGAATATTTGATATAAGGAATTTGCTTTTTTGTTTTTAAAGAGTTTTTATCTTTTAGATTTGTTTTAAAATAACACAGGATGAAAGCAGGTTACACAGGTGGGGGTGTAGCTGAACTAAGACTGGTCATAGCTGGTACCTACTGAAGTTGGGTGACTGGTATATGGAAGTTCATTATGCTGTTATAGTGACTCTTAAAAATATTTAACATTTTTTCTTATCGAAATTTCCTATATGGAAAAATTTTAAGTATGCATGTAAATTTGTACAGAAAAAGTTCTGGAAGGATATACACCAGAAGACAATTACCTTTAGACAGTAGATTTCACGGGGATTTTTATGTAATTTTTCTTTATTTATCTATATTCCCCCTTTTTTCTATAATGAACACGTTGTAACTGCATGTTTAAAATAGAAAGTGAAAATAAAAATTTTAAATTCAAAATCTCCCCAGTAATCACACACTTTAAATAGCAAACATGAAGTCTCTGATTCTTCTTGCCTGATCTCTGTTTAGTGTAGATGCTAAAACAAAGGGAGCAACAAACTAATGAGTTTATCTTAAGGAAGAAAAAAAGGCTCTTAAATAGTTCTTCCTACCTCTACCTAATTTAACCTGATGATTCTGTAGCAGATTAAATCAAGAAGTTAGCTACATAACATAAACAAATTTCTAATAACAATTCCAAAACTCACAATATGTCAACTGGACTGTAAAGTTAGGTTCTGTAACAACAGTGCTCAACTGTGATTCCTTACCACCCGTGTATTATAGCCCTCCATCCTAGCAGTGTTACTGAAAATGTTCTATTAAAAAAAGACAGTTGTATCTTACCGGTGGCATAGAATGCCGCCCACATTCGATGGTGACAAGTTTGTGGCACTTCTTATGAACAAGGAGTTTGCAGTTGATGCACTTATACCCCTGACGTCCAAGTCCCCATATTCGGTCAGTACAGATGGCACAGTGGGCACGCTGGAAAGAGTAATTCAACAGCAATTTATTAGCAAATAAAAAGTCATAATCATTTGCCAAAATAGTGAAAATAAGGGGCAGCTGGGTAGCTTAGTCAGTTAAGCGTCTGTCTCTTGATCTGGGCTCAGGGCATGATTTCAGGGGGTTGAGATGGACCCCTCTCTGGGCTCTGCACTGGGTGTGGAACCTGCCTGGGATTCTCTCTCTCCAACTCCCTGTGCCCCTTCCTATCCCCACTCACTCACTCGCTCTCTCTCCAAAAAAGAAAAAAAAAGGTGAAAATGAATGGCTTTCTTCTCTAACTCAATTCCCTTCATCAAACATAACTTTTCTGAAGCTATAATGGTCACAGAAAAATAAACAGAGAAGAGTTACTTGCAAGAGTGAAATTCGCGACCATGTTGTTTTCTGTTTTAAGTTCAAGAATTTTTAGTCTTGGGGCGCCTGGGTGGCTCAGTGGGTTAAAGCCTCTGCCTTCGGCTCAAGTCACGATCTCAGGGTCCTGGGATGGAGCCCTGCATCGGGCTCTCTGCTCAGCGGGGAACCTGCTTCCTCCTGCCTCTCTGCCTACTTGTGATCTCTGTCTGTCAAATAAATAAATAAAATCTTAAAAAAAAAAAAAGAACTTTTAGTCTTCGCATAAACTCAGAGTACTGAAAACAGTAAAAGTGAATTAAACTTGAAAAGCATTTGGCAGAAAAAGCTACAGAAGGACTCCCAAGCAAACATCAACCTTCCAGACTATTCAGAGGTCAAATCAAAGCCCTGCTCTCTCAAAGAGCAATTCCTAAAGTGACTTGTTCATTTCAAAGCTCTGTTAGTATCAGTGCTGCTGGGAAAAGGATTTGGGGAAACTCAGGTCACAGCTTTTAGTTACATGAATTAATTCAGAACATGGCACTGGTTTTACAATGGAAATGGAGTCCATATTTTTGTAGTTATCAAGAGTAGTTAAAAACAAGGACTTCTGGAAACAGACTTCTTTCAAACCTTGGTTCTGCCACTTACTAGCTGTGTCATCTTGGGCAAGTTACTGAACCGCCCCACACCTCAGCTTTTTCATCTATAAAATAGAAATATATAGTACCTAACTCACAAGGCTGTTGTAAAGATTAAATGGGTCAACAGATGTCAAGCATTTGGAAAAGCACCTGGTACTTAGTAAAAGCTAGATAAGTGGTTTGCAATTATTATTTCTGAAACAGTGAAAGTTAAAATCACATTAAAAGGTTTGCAAAAATAAACTTTGCTTATTTCTGGTTGTCTAGAATTATAGTAAAAAAGCCAACTTTCTTTTAGCTAAGGTAACTATATAATTCAATCAGAGGTATTTTTAAGAGTGAAAGGAGATGCTATTAAAAATTACCTCAAGATAACACGGATACTGCCCCAGGCAAAATGGGAATGTGTCACCCTACTGACTCCTTTAAAAGGGAAAAGAAGACTACCTTTCTTTCACAGTAGGGAGGAAAAAAAACAGGTATCTCAAGTTATTAACATTCTACAAACTAAGGTTTACCCTGTTGAAACGCTTGGCTTGGAAAGTGTGGCCATTTGCACAATAAAGCTTTCTCCAGCGGCGTGCACCTCTGCGATAGATAGATTCTAAAGAGAGAGAAAACGTTAAAAAAAGGAAAAAGAGCAAGTGTGAATAAAAGTCTTTTTATAATTAAGTCTGTGACCTTCTTTCATGATATTCACTTTAAGAAACAAATATTCTTTTTTTTTTTTTAAAGATTTTTATTTATTTATTTGACAGACAGAGATCACAAGTAGGCAGAAAGGCAGGCAGAGAGAGAGAGAGGAGGAAGCAGGCTCCCTGCTTGAGCAGAGAGCCCGATGCGGGGCTCGATCCCAGGACTCTGAAGATCATGACCCGAGCCGAAGGCAGAGACTTTAACCCACTGAGCCACCCAGGCGCCCCTTCTTTTTTTTTTTTTTTAAGAAAAAAATATTCTGATTAAAAACCTGAAAGTGAAGAAATAAAATAGATTCACCAAGGGATTAATGAAAACAAAGCCTATGGAGCAAAAGTGTATTAAAAATTACTATTAAGGCTTTTCTGTCTTTTAATTTTCCCCCCAATTTTTGCACATTTGGGTGGCTCAGTCAGTTAAGCGACTGCCTTCACCTCAGGTCATGATCTCAGGGTCTTGGGATCAAACCCTGTGTCTGCTTCTCCCTCTGCCCCTCCATGCCACCCCTACCCCTCTCACTCTCTTGTGCTCTCTCTTGTAAGAATAAAATAAATAAAATCTTTTAAAAAAAGATTTTCCGGGGCGCCTAGTGGCTCAGTAGCTTAAAGCCTCTGCCTTCGGCTCAGGTCATGATCCCAGGGTCCTGGGATCCAGCCCCGCATCGGGCTCTCTGCTCAGTGGGGAGCCTGCTTCTTCCTCTCTCTCTGCCTGCTTCTCTGCCTACTTGTGATCTCTGTCAAATAAATAAATAAAATCTTTTAAAAAAAGTTTTCCCCCACTTTTAATTTTGAACAATTTTAAGCCCACAGAAAAGTTGAAAGACTATAACAATGAACAGTTAATCCTTCATGCAGACTTACCAATACCTAACATTATGCCGCATTTGCTTTCCTCTCTTTTTGTCTGCATCCTTTAAAAGTAAGTTGTGGACATAGCACCTCACCCTTAAATACCTAAGTATCCACTTACTGCCTTAAATTAAAGGTGTTTCCCCTAATGCTATTTAACCCTAACACCATTACCATCTTAGAAAATCAACATTAACTCAATAACACCTAATAGTTCGTATGCAAATTGCCCTATTTGCCCTCAAAGTATCTTTCATAGCTTTCTCTTTCTCTCCAGGATCCAAGCAAGATTCAAACATTGCCTTTGGTTCCTATACCTTTTTTGTCTCTTGAATGTAGGCTGAAACAGTCATGCTGCCATATTTGCTGTTTTTTCTTTGTGATGTTGATAAAAAAAAAAAAAAAAAAAAAAAGAGTCCAGGCAGTTGTCTTATATTATGTCCTACATTCTGCATTTGTCTGCTTCTTTATTAGAATCAGTATCAAATACTTTTGGCAAAAATAATACATAGGTGATATATATTGCTTGTGCTATCACAGTAAGAGATACACAAATGCAGGGTGCCTGGGGGGCTCAGTGGGTTAAGCCTCTGCCTTCGGCTCAGGTCCTGAGATGGAGTCCTGCATCGGGCTCTCTGCTCAGCAGGCTCTCTGAGAGAGAGCCTCTCATTCTCTTGTGCCTCTCTAAGAGAGAGCCTCGCATTCTCTGCCGAGCAGAGAGCCTGCTTCCCTCTCTCTGCCTGCCTCTCTGCCTACTTGTGATCTCTCTCCCTCTCTCTGTCAAATATATAAGTAAAATAAAAAAAAAAAAGAGATATACAAATGTCCCATTGTTGACTCCCAGTTCAATCACTCTGTTAAAGGCAGTGACTGCTTGTTCTCTTCACTGTAAAGATACATTTTACTTTTCATAGATGCTCTAAAGGGGACACTCTGCAACCACAAAATATTATCTTCCCCACTAATTTTTTTTTTTTTTCTTAAGAGGGGGAGAGGGGCAGAGGAAGAGGAAGAGAGAGAATCTTAAGCAGGCTTCATACCCAGCACTGAGCCAAAGTGGGGCTGATCTCATAACCCTGGCATCATGACCTGAGCTGGAAATCAAGAGTCAGAGGCTTAACCAACTGAGTCACCTAGGTGTCCCTCCCCATTAATCTTTAATCCAAAGGTTTTTATATTAATACATTTTCTAAACAAACTAAGAGCTTCCATAAGACCAAATCTAGTTGACCTGTGTAATTTCGGTTAAGTCAATCACTATTATATATATTGCCTATCAGTCATTACTATTAATATTCCACAGTGATAGTTAATATTGTAGAAAGATTCCATTAGGTTTCTAAACTCATATTTTAAAGCCGATGTAGCACTGGGTTTACCATTTAAAATTAAGATAGAAAAAACTAGTGAAATGCTCTAAATTAGAAATCTTAAGATAGCATAATACAGAACCTTAAATACAGATACTTTTATTTTTATTTATTTATTCTGTTAGGAGTAACCAAAGCAGAAAGTTTCTGTTAATTATATCTTAACCTAAGGGCACCTGGGTGGCTCAGTCTTTGATCCATCCATCATTGGAACTCTGGCAAAATATTCTTCTCTGAATCCAGACCTACATTTTTCACTACTGCTTCAGGGTTCTACCTACTTCCTTAAATTTCCACATCTTCCTAAATAGTACATTCAACTCTCTATATAAATATTCATATCTCTTTTATTTTTCTTCATCAAGTTGCAGGAAGAGTCACAGAACTGGGGCGCCTGGGTGGCTCAGTCAGTTAAGCGTCTGCCTTCAGCTCAGGTCATGATCCCGGGGTCCTGGGATGGAGCCCCATGTCAGGCTCCCTGCTCAGTCAGGAGTCTGCTTCTCCTTCTTTCACTGCCCCTCCCCGCTGCTTGTGTGCTCACTCTCTCTCTTTCTCTCTCAAATAAATAAATAAAATCTTAAAAAAAAAGTCACAGAACTTAAAGTTTAAAACTATTTCATTTAATTCAAAGGAAAACACTCATCACAATTCTTGTAAAGTCATGCATATGTGCAGAAACCACAAATGAAAATGAGTAATATCCACAACTAATAAGCTATACAAAATATCAAAAGCAGTAACTTATGATCATAAATAAATTTACAAATTTAAGTTCCATCAGACCAGATAGTTGTTTGCTCTTTCAGTTCTTTTTACTAATGGTAACTATCAGCCTAGACATTTGAAAGAAAATCCCTAACAATTTCTAACTATGCATGCTCAAGTACTTAGAAAGGAAGCATCATGTTACTTTCAAATGTTACACTAAAAAAATAAAAATAAGCATGTTTCTTATGTATATACATGTATATCTATGTGTGAACACATACAGATGCAGAAATAAACAAACATAGAAAATGTTAATAATTGGTCAATGAAGGCAAAGGATATCTTTGTGTCTTTGTTTTCAATGTTGTTTCAACCTCTCCATAGGTTTGAAAATTTCCAAAATTAAAAACTAGGAAGAAACATGACTTAAAATTCACTTAATTTTCCTCTCAAATGTACAACAGATACTCATGTCAGTAACTTGTAACTAAAAACTGCCCGATTTTCATCTGGCAAAAGTAGAGAATTTAGGCAGTTGCTAAGATAGCCTAAATTAGACTGAAGAATGGAAAAGAAATGAAATGGACTACAAGTTCTACTTCTGATTTCCTTTCACATGTGCCTTTATGCCATAAATAACTCTACATTCAAAGATATGAAGTAAATACACACTCACTGTCTTCTCCTGGACATGGCATTCCAGGACGTTCTGGTACACAAGGGAAGACTAAAAGAAAAGAAACTAAAATTAATATAGAAAATTGAAAACATACAAATTACATAGAATTTTAAATTCTAAATCAAAAAAATTGACCCAAATTTCAACCTGACCCTCTCTTGACACAAGATATTTAGCATGTGGTCAGTAATGTTTTTTCAAGGGATTGGTTTATTAAGTCTATATGAAAAAAGTTTTCATCAAAGTTAACAGCCAAAATCAAATGCATTAGAAGCTCAAATTATTCACACTAGTTCCTATTATGTTACTAATTGATTTTTTTGCCCTTGGAAAAACCTTGAACTATTTCCTTAAATCTTTGTTGTACTGTCAAGTTTGCTAAAATGAAGAACTAAAACTGAATTAGAAAAATGTATACAGGAACGCCTGGGTGGTTCAGCCTGTTAAGCGGCTGCCTTCGGCTTAGGTCATGATCCCAGTGTCCTGGGCTGAGTCCCAAGTCTGGCTCCTTTCTCAGCAGGGAGCCTGCTTCTTCCTCTGCCTCTGCCTGCCACTCTGCCTGTCTGTGCTCTCTCTCTCTCTGACAAATAAATAAATAAAATCTTAAAAAAAGAAAAGAAAAGAAAAATGTATACAAATATGAACACAAACCATTACAGTTCTTAAAAGATGTATACTGAATTTAGGAAAAAATTTACAGCACTAAGATTACCCAAATCCAAAAAATATACTTTTTATCTTAGAAACTACAAATTTATAAACATGTTAATTCAGGCCATTTTCATAAAGAGATAGAAAATAAAGACAGTATATTTATGAACTAGTCAACTATTTGTAGTCTGTGATGTGCAAAAGGACATGGCTTAAAAAAACACACGAAGTATGAGAAGCATGGGCCCTTATATATTCTTTAAAGTTGAAATATAAGCTAACTTCAGTTGTGCTATGGTATAAAAATAACAAAAACTTAAAACAAACTGTTTAATACTACTGATCAATCACTTCTTTCAATACTCATTGCAGTTTTATTCTAGAAAGAAATGACTCCAAAAATGGATGACTTTGAAGTTCTGCTAGGACCTCAAACAATTAGATTACGGATCCCTTAGAGGAGTCACTATCTCAAACTCTGAAGGTAGAAAATATCAAGCTACTGATTTTTAAAAGACACACTGTAAAGAAAAGTACAAGGGAATAATAACAAGGTGTTGACTCACTATACTTACGGGCGATTTATATTTGTTCAAGTTTTAAAGAGTTCTCTAGGTTTGGCCTCCTAAAAATATTACATGAAATATTGCCGATGAATCGCAGTGAAATGCGATATATTAAGTGGGTTTTACAGGACATAAAAAATTTGAGGGGTAGCATAGTAGAATGAAAAGAACAGAGACTTGGAAGCGGAATACCTAGATTCTATACCCTGGTCTACAACGCACCATTTCGTGATGGCTGAGTTTCTTCTCTTCTTCTCTACCACTAGCCAGCTTGTGGGCCTGCAGATGTTTAACACAGTAATCTCTATGACTATGTAAATAGTTTCACTGTTAACCCTCAAATAAAAGAAAGGACATTTCAGATACCTTCTCTTTGGAGATCATTATTTGCATACACTACAAAACTGCAAGGGAATGACTCAGGAGAATCCTACTAGGCACTCAATTTTAAATTCTCTCTTAAACTTTGACGTGAAACACTTGAGAGAAGATCAGTTTAATATCCACGAAGGCATACCCAAATATCAAATTTTCCAAGAGTATAAGATGATTGATTTTATCTTCTCTAGCATTTGAGAAACTACTGGATATGAGCAGTCACATAGCAATGAGGGTAGAGATTAAGAAAATGACATCAGGATTACATTTTAAAATGTCAAGAATATAGGGTTTAAAAAAAAAAATGGAGCTCTAGAAGAGTAAGAAATGACTACTTCTTTACCATGAATCAGGAGTTCAGAATCCTTGTTTAGCTCATAAAGCCTAAAGGCTTCTTCTAACTCCAACTGAGATGATACTGTACACGGGTCTCCTAAAAAACATAAAAAGTAAAGCAAAGCTCACCTTTTAAACTCTCTAAAATGTCATGTTTAATAAGCAATTTTCATTACATAAAATCTTGAGCAAAAACAATTGCCATTATATAAAATCTTGAGAAAAACAATTTTATACACACACACACACACGCGCGCGCGCGCACACACACACACAGAGAAGTATTTGGCAAGGACAAATTTTAGATATTTAGACAATTCTGTTTTCTAAAGTGGGTAACATAATTCCATTTTTATTTCTATAAAATATTACATGAGGCTCATCAATACCCAATTTGATACATACAAAAAACATTTAATTCTCAATAACATAGATATTCAGAATATAGCAAAAGGAATCTACCCTGACCACAGTTGGACTGTTACTACGAGATGACTAATGGCCAGGGACAAGCTTTCTGTTACATTCCTCTTTAAAGGAGGAAGTGAAAGTGGTTTCACTGCCATAATGTCATCATTCTGTCAAATTTTTCCTTCACCTGTGAGTCTTTCCTCACCCAAGAGGCTCACAAAGAAGAAGCACAGCTACTAGAGTACTCCAGACCTCGGAGAGCCCTGCTTGAGCTCTTTCAAACGTGAATACATAGTTTTAGGAAACTTACCCACAGAAAGGTTAAGGGAGAAACACCTCCCTAATCAACCAGCCAAAGAACTGAGTCATCCCTGGCCAACAGTGAGATGGCACATCTCCCCAGATGATGGCATTCCTCAACGAAAAAGTCATTTTGATCATAGCTGGAGCCTGAGCTGGGTCCTCCTCACGGCAATGCTTTTGCACATTCCTGTGGTTACACCAAATGTGACCACACACAAGATGCCACCAACCTTATCCAAACCTCAATCACTCTCAGCAGAGAACTATGTCTATTACTCAAGAGAGAAAACCGAAGCCATCTCCTGTCCTCCAGTCTCAAAGAAATGAGTGCCCTGTACCTTTCTCCAACTTGGAGACTCCCTTAAGGAATCTCTTCCTTTTATCTTCTCTGGGCCTTATCCCGTTAGTCCCCTTCAGTTCCGCTTTCAATTTTCCTTTCCTTCCACTAGCTCTTCTCAGGCAAAGGCATGTTTGAGTCTCCCTCTCAGCAATCTCCCTCACACTCAGGTTCCATTCTCTTCATTCAGTAGCCACACGTCTCAAGAGCAAACTGAAGACTGAAACTGGAGGGGGTGGGTGAGAAGAAGGGGAAGAACGAAAGCCTTTGGCTTTTGACTTCATACTTTTCTTTTGTAATTTTAATCAGAGGTTTATAATCCTTTAGGTTTATTAGAAATAGCTTTTCTTAATATCAAGAGTGACTCCACCTTGTTTTCTCCACTGTTCCTATCCTCTCAAAAATTCTGCTAACAGGTTTTAGTCCATACGGTCTACTAAAAGTGCTATATCCACAGTCATGAAGAGAGCTGCTAAATCCCCTTTTCTGTCTTTACTCTAATGGACCTCTCTATGGCATCTACCAAAGTTGCCCACTGACTATTTACAGAAACTCGGCATCTAGGTTTCTTTTTTTTTTTTTAACTTATTTTATTTAAATTCAATTAGTTAACATATAGTATATCATTAGTTTCAGATATAGAGTTCAGTAATTCATCCGCTGCATATAACACCCAGTGTTCATTATATCATATGCCTTCCTTAATGCCTGTCACCGAGTTACCCCATCCCTCCACCGATATGCCTCTAGGTTTCTAAACGCCATTCTCCTGGTTTACTAACTCTCCTTTTTAACTTTTCATTTTTGAAAATTTTCTTTTTCTTTTCAATTCCTTTCCTTTCATTTCTTCCTTTCTTTCTTCCTCTCTCTCTCTCTCTCTCTTTCTTTCTCTTTTAAAGTCGGCTCCACTCCCAGCCTGGAGGCCAATGCAGGACTTGTACTCATAACCTTGAGATCAAGATCTGAGCTGATATCAGGAGTCAGACACTTAAACAACTGAGCCACTTAAGCGCCCCTCATTTTGGAAATTTTCAAACATATTACCAAATCTGGCTTCCCCTTACATATCCACTCACTTCTACGGTATCATTCTGCATAAATCTCTTTAACTTAAGATTAAAATTCCTTAATATGATCACAATACCATTATAAACCTATAAAACTAACAAAAATTCATTTTATATAAAATATCCAAATGTAACCATAGGCAAAAGAATAAAGTTGAACTTTTATCTCATACCATAAATAAAAATTAACTCAAAATGGAACAAAGACTTAAATGCAAGAGTTAAATCTAAAAACCCTTGGAAGAAAACATAGGGAGCAAGCTTCATGATGCTGGATTTGGCAATGATTTCTTGGATTTGACACCAAAACCACAGGCAAGGGGAAAAAAAAAACAATGAACATTTCTCCAAAGAAGATGTATAAATAGCCAATGAGCACATGAAAAGATGTTTAACATCATTAATCATTGAGAAAGTGAAAATCAATGAGATACTGCCTCCTTGTGATGAGACTACACAAAAAGGGAAAGAGAACCAACTACGCCAGCATCCCAGTGAGCCTCCACATGACTCCAGACCCAGCTGCCCTCTGATTGCCACTGCATGAGAGACCTTTCGTGAGACCAGCAGAGCGAGTCAACTCACAGAAGTGTTAGAGATTATAAAATAAAGTGGCGGGGCTTTTTTTTTTAAGCTACTACACTCTGAGGTGAGTTGTTATGGAACCAATACCTTACAACCATCTTTCAAGTAGAATCTTGAAATTCTGTGAATCTTTACAAGACCCAGGACAAATACCACCTCTTCTGAACAGCCCTACCTAAGGATGTAATATTTCACATTTTATGAAAAGCCCAGGATAACCTAATTTTTAATAATGGTTTTATTGAGATATAATTCACAAAGCATTCAATTTACCCATTTGAAGTGTACAATGGCTATCAGTATGTTCGCAGAGCTGTCAACTACCAATAGAATCCATTTTAGAACATTTTTATCATTTCCTCCTCAAAAAAGCCCCTTGCCCATAGTGGTCACTCTCCGTTTCCCCCAACCTTTCCTCCTATTGCCAGACCTAGGCAACCACTAATCTATTTTCAGCATCTATAGATTTGGCTTTTCTGGACATTTCATATAGATGGAATCATACAATATGTGGTCTTCATGTCCCTCTTTTCTCCCTGAGCATGTTTTCAAGGTTCCTCCATGTTGTAGCATGTATCAGTATGTCAGTCTTTTTTTATTTTTATTTTTTTTAAAGATTTTATTTATTTATTTGGTAGACAGAGGTTACAAGTAGGCAGAGAGGCAGGCAGAGAGAGAGGAAGCAAAGCAGGCTCCCTGCCAAGCAGAGAGCCCGATGCGGGCCTCGATCCCAGGACCCTGGGATCACGACCTGAGCCGAAGGCAGAGGCTTTAACCCACTGAGCCACCCAGGTGCCCCTGTCAGTCTTTTTTATTAGTGAATAAGACAGCAAATATTCTTTAAGTATTTGTGTATTTGAATAACTTCTCATGATGATTTCCTACAAGTAGGATTGACTAAAGTGTGCCCATTTGGGGCACATGGGTGGCTCAGTTGGTTGGCTGTCCTACTCTCGGTTTCAGCTCAAGTCATGACCTCGGGGTCATAAGATCAAGCCATGTGATGGACTTCGCATTCAGCGTGGAGTCTACTTAAGATTCTCTCCCTATCCTTCTGCATCCTCCCTGCCCCTCTCCCTGCTCGTGCTCTTTCTTTCTCTAAAATAAATCTTTAAAAAATAAAGTGCCCCCATTTAAAATTTTGACAATTATTCCAAAATTTAGAATGACAGGAATTCCAAAAGGTTATCATATATACAAGTATATCTTTCCTAACTCCCTATAATTATTAAATTTTAATTATCTTCTAATCTGGTAGTGAAAATGTCTTATTTTCAAATCTTTGGGTTTTTTAACTATTAGTAATTTTGTAGTTTTTTGGTCATTTATGAATTAGCTATCTACATTTCTTTAAGTAGATTTTTCATCTATTTTTTTTTACCTAATTATTTTATATTAGAGATACCAACTCTGGAAATGTTACAAGTATTTTCTGTCAGCTGTTATTATTACTCTTATATCTGTGATTATGGTGTTTTTCAACATAAAAATTAGAGTAATTCTTCCCTCTTTACATTTCCTTTTTGAGAATTTTCCTGTTTATTTTTCCAAATGAAACTGTCAGTTTTTTAAAAATCCTATTAGAATTTGGGGGGGGGCAGTCTTTATAGATTTATCTGCAGGGACTTCTCATTTTACACGATACCTCTTCCTAACCCCATTCATTTAAAGTTTTGCTTATAGAATCCAGTTGTTTTTGTTTCAGTTTTCTTTACATGGGTTCTTCACATTCCTTTAAAGTTTACCCCTAGATTTAAAAAAAATCATGTTGTTACTATGAATGGAATCTTTTCTTCTGATTTATTTTCTGACTGAGTATAATTTACATAAAAGAAAGACTGGTTCTCTCATACATCCAGTCTTTAACTTGGTGTTATTAATATCTTAAAGATGCTAGATAAAAAATAGTGAGTCAAAATGATTCAACCAGGTTACATAGATACACCATTTTTGGATCAACACTCAATACACTGATAATAACAAGTACTGGTGAGGATCAATCCATACATACTGCTGATGGGAATGTAAAATGGTGCTGCCACTTTGACAAACAGTCTGGTAGTTCCTCAAAAGGTTAAACATAGTTACCATATGACCCAGCAATTCTTCTCCTAGGTATATATCCAGAGAAATGAAAACATATGGCCACACAAAAAGTTGTAACTAAATGTTCATAGTGGTAGTACTCATAACAGCCAAAAAAATGGAAATAACCCAAATGTCTGTTAATTGAACAAGTACTGATATGACACGTCTAGATTAGGCAAATCTATAGAAACATAAAGTTGGGGGCCCCCCGGTGGCTCAGTTGGTTAAGCAACTGCCTTTGGCTTAGGTCATGATCTTGGGAGTCCTGGGATCAAATCCCATATCAGGCTCCCCACTTGGCGGGGA